TTTGTGGTAAAGACACGTTGCGCTAAAAATGTTGGACAACTCCAATATAAAATAGTTATATATTTTTGAATTAATATTGGATATACAACTAAATACAACGTAACTATACTGATATGAGACGCTATAGTTTAAACAAGCAAGAAATTCATAAGATTTTAAGATGTGTATTGTGTAAAGTGTCTTTAAAAGCATATCACGCCAATTAGTGTTCCGCAAAAAAGATCCGAATGGATCCGGAATTTTTAATGGGTATTGAAGTAGCATTTTACAAAGGATACTCGAACTAAAACTGTACATATAATTAATATGGAAAACACACTACCGACAACAGGCACTACTTGTCTCTCACATGTACCTGTAGCAAATAGCAGTCTTTCAAACTCGCTGCATAAACCGGATCCGGGTCCGAATGGAGGACCTGCTACTGGCGATAGAAGCATGTGGCAGGCAAATAGAGCTTAATGTCGGTAGTGTGCTTTCCATATTAATTATACGTTTCAGTTCTGGTGTCCTTTGTGAAATGCTAAATTTATACCCATCAAAAATACCGGATCCGTTCGGATCTTTTTCTGCGGAACACTAACGCCAATCCACTATAATTTTCTAATGCCAACCCGAATAATACATAACGCCGGAACAGGCATTTAAATTAGGGATATTTCACACCCCATACCGTATTGATCTGGTCATACTAATCTGCATAATTTAGAAATGTTCATGGCTAATGTGGATAAAAAGCAAATGAGACGTTAGGGTGATCAACACTAATAAATCAAACAATAGTTATGTACTATATGTTTAATTATTATGATCAGATTTTTTAAAGATTAATTTCACATACGAATTTACATATGAATTCGCACTGATTTAGATACACTTTTTTTACCTAACTGACAAAATTGCATCGTATATTTTTTTTAAATTATAGTTCTAGACTAGCTCTATGCCGTAATAGAGCCAGTTTTGTAATAACTTTTTAAAAAAATCTACTTATTTTATAAAAGGTTGCTGCAAAAATGGTTCTATTACAGTATAGAGCTATAGTTTTAAAAAAGAATGCGATGCAATTTTGTATGTTAGTTAGGTAAAAAAGTGTACCTAAATCAGTGCGAATTCATATGTAAATTCGTATGTGAAACTAACCTTTAAAAATCCGATCATAATAATTAAAATATATACATAACTATTGTTGATTTATTAGTGTTGATCACCCTAATGAGACGTGAACTGCTCATATTAAATGCTTAGTGTTCTCAATGTGATTAGCTAGCTACCGAGATAGTGCATGAGTACTACGATTAATTGAAGCAATCCTTACCTGTTACTGTAATTTTGCTGAAGGTTCATTACGCGAATGTGGATAACAAAATTTTAGTCAATCAGAACAAGTCTATGACAAAAAAAGGTGGTTCAAACTTTTTTTTCCATCACTTCCGGTTAAGCTACTTTTTACCAAATAAAAATTGAGCACCGACCTATTAATTTATATGCTTGAGAGAACCTTAAACGAGAAATTAATTAATATATTGATTGATAACGTTCAAACGATTAAATAAGAAAAATTCTACTGAAATAACATGGCAGAATTTTGTAGACCAATTTCAACCTATTAAAGAATTTTTTTTTGGAGCTGTCAACGTTTGTATTTAAGTACTATATAGCTTTAAAATTACATTATCACTGTAGCTACGTAGTATGCACTACTGTATCAGTATTATCTACCACAGCCTGAGCCATGACACAAGTGTGGCTTCATAACTATGGCTCCAAAAGTTGATTCGGTTGCAACTGATTCTGAGCCATAGTAAAGTTGCAACTCCAAGCTATATAGCTTAAGCTGTAGCTCATCAGCTTGGCGGCTTCAGATAACGATAAGCCGAAGACAACAAATCCATATTTGGTTAGTGCAATTCCGAAGGACACATTTTTATAAATGATCGTCATTCACTTTGCAAACCCGATAAAATATACATGTTGAACGTTCGTTATGGTTCAAATCTCACTATATATAAATATCGTGTTATATGATGCAATTTCGTGAAGTTTAAGTTAGAGTGTCTAGGGTACTGCAGTGCATAATTCTGCTCACGCTAAAAATAATTTTTTATATTGTTCTCATAAGAGTCACGTGATTTAAATCACTTTCTATGCACCGCAGTACCCTGGACACTCTAGTTAAAGTGCAGAATTACACGTTTCATTGCATTTAATGCATTGCCCAACCAATTATGAGATTTTGCAGACTAAGGTAGCTGCCCAACATAGTCGCGCTAAAACCAGGAACGTTGCAGGAGTATATCAGGAATAATTATCTATGAAAACTTACCTGTGAATTAATCAACTGTAAAATAATCTTGCCTGTAATTCAAATCTCTGCGAACTAAGTTGTGTTGTCTGTGAAGCAATTGTTGGTGAATTGACACTACTAAATAAAATATTAATTCATGTATCTAAATAATCACAATAATGCAATTTGAATCTTAAGGCAGTATGTTGATAGCGATAGAGAATAGTTTAAGTATTCCACCTGATTTCGCACCATCATGTGATATTATGTACTACGATCTCAGAGTAACCTAAATATTAAATCCAATACAATCGATAATGATCGATCAAAAGGCTATACTTGATCATGATTGATTAGAAGGCTATAATCGATCAAACTATATGATCGATCATGATCGATCAGTATCGATCATGGTAATTTTGACCGAGCCAGTGGTGATCATCACCAGGGCATTTATATTTCAAAAACATACTAAGTAAACAGGATTGGGTACTCTAAGTAAAAATCCTATGAAAACCTTACGAAAACTGAAATTGGGACTTTATATCTAATCAAAGATGATTTTAACGCTCACCAGAGGTGAAATTCACCGGGGGTGCTATATCTCAAAACGTACTAAGTAATTAAAGTCAGGGAGTCTAAGTAAAAATGTTCAGGACCCTTGAAAATCTCACGAAAACTGAAAGCGGGACCTTATATCTAATCTACATTATATTATATAAAACTCCTCTTTTATCCTAAAACTGCACCCTAACCCTAAAAACTCTTAGAAAATTTCACCACTGGTGAATATTAAATAAATTCTCTAATCAATTATACAGTATGATATAAAAAACTCCTATGTCTTAAAGCTGCACCCTAATCCTAAATATATCTAGGTGTGGTGATAATCACCATGGGCTATTTTGATTATATTTCATATATGAATTAGATATTTATATAACTAATATTTTCTTATCACCACTCCTAAGAATTTAAAATTAGATACTGTATAAGGTCCTGATTTCAGTTTTCATGAGGCTGAACATTTTTACTTAGTACATTTTTGAGATATAGCAACACCGGTAATGATCACCAGTGGTGGTAAATAGCAAACTTCTAAAAAAAAATAATTATATAATTATATGGGTAATTATTTTTGAACCCGGACCAATTTATATATAACGTAATAATATTTCGGTCTGGATTCAAAAATAATTACCCATATTTAAAGCATATTATTTATATACAGTATATAAATATTTAATTACATCATATTAAACAAAATTAATTGTATACCCATATCTCATTATAAATTTATTGATTACAACCCTTTTTTTGTACCGTAATATACATAGTTTTGGGTACAGTACACTTTTTTTTTATATTACCTATCTTTTTTTTCATACCGTACCCAAATTGTTAATACTAGATTTGGGTACGGTAAACTTTTTTTTATTAAGTATATATATATATTTTTGTATACTTAACACCCTAAAAAAAAGCTTGGTATGGTAATTATTATTTTTTTTTGTGTACCCTGCTCGAAAAAATTTATCTGGGTACGGTTACTTTTCTGTACCGTACCCTACCGGATACTTTTTTTCTGTACCGTACCGGAAAGGTATATACTCAGTTTAATATAAAATTTTAGAATATTTTAGTGTTTTTATCCTAGCTTTTTTAGTGATAAATTAGAATTTAGGGTTAGAGTTGCTTAGAAAAGAGTATAAGTAGATTTCAGTAGGGTTTATATTTTGGATTACAGATGAATTTTACGTATCAAACCAATATATATATATATATTTGTATATATTTATATATTTATATTTATTTATATTTATTTATTTATTTATTTATTTAACGTTAAGCGTTAAAAATCAATTATGTTGTACATTTTAAGTACGTATAATGGACAAAAAAAATATATACGTACTTACGTACAAACATTAAAATGACTGCAGGATTTTATTATTATAACCACTTTTATTTGCCTTAGTCTTAACGAACGTTAATTTTATTTTAGATTGATTAAGCAAGATATCCAATTTTATCTATCTCAAATTAAAAATCTATATTTATATTTTGCTTTTTTACGTATAACTTATTGTGCTGCATATCAAAAAGGCAATAAAATTATTCATATCTGATATCTTGATTCCTAATTATAAAATTTGTTAAATCATCGTCAAGTGGTGAAGTTACTTGCATCTAATTATAACTTAGCGTTAGTTCCAGCAAAGCAACAAAGTTTCTCATACTGTATGAAATTTCATAAATATTAACCTTAATTTTAAATAATGATAACATTTTTAATCATTATTCTTTTATAATATTTAGTTAAATCTTTAATACTTACATGCTGATACATGCTGATACGTATTTTTTAAAAAATTAATATGCAATATTCATGTTCGCTTTTTTTATCACTTACCACGTTAAAATACGACATGCCCAGATTCTAGTCCTAACGTTAACACTAACGCCAATTGTGTAAAAAAATTATTAATAAACTGACAATAACATATTGTTAATACATTGCAATCAACTCAAATCTAATTATAGCTTTGAAGCCGAGCGAAGAAGTTGCCCAGTTACTCTCGCTCTTTATATATAAATATCTCGTCTTTACCCACTGCTTAAAAATTAAAAAAAAACTCTTTCTTCGAATAATTAAGACTAAAAAAAAAAATAATAATAATTTACCCGATCATAAATAATAATCATAAATCACATGTCACGATTAATTTTTCTTACGCTTCTCTTAGCTTTTATTGGGCTTACTTCAGCCCGTAAGTTATATATTATTTTAAAGTGAATTAATTAAATCGAATTTTAAATGTATTAAGCGATTTTTTAATTTCAGAGGTTGGACAAATCAACACACCTAGTAATGAAATTGCAATTGGTGCCAATGTTATGGTCACTTGGACGTACACCGAACAAGCAACTCAGATTCCAGGCATTTTAAGTTGTATCGATAACACAACAAAAAATACAATTATACTTAGTAATGCAATAAATGTCTCCACTAAAACTTATACATGGTTGGTCAATGTTCCCGCGAGTGCTTATTACCTTGCTCTTAACGATGGTAGTGGTGATAAGTACTCTGGAACTTTTAGTGTCTTTAATGCCGGACTGCCTGCTTCTTCTGGCTCCGCTGCAGCACCTGCTTCTTCTGGCTCCGTTGCTGCTGCAGCTCCTGCTCCTGCTTCTTCTGGCTCCGCTGCTGCTGCTGCTGCAGCTCCTGCTCCTGTTCAAACTGGTCCTCCATCTGTAGCTTCACCTCAAGCTTCAGCTCCAGCTCAAACCCCTCCCCCTGCACCTGCACCTGCTCCTAAATCATCTACTACTACGTAAGTGTTTTATAACTTCTGACACAAATTTCAAGATATATAAATAACTTATTTTTTTTACATATTCAATTTTTAGTACTAGAACAAGTGAATCATCAAAACCAACCACAACACCAGCCAGCTTGTCCAGTTCTGCTACAAGCTTCACTGGATCATCCATTTTTGGATACAAATTTTTGCTTAGCCTTATTATGGTGGCAACAGTAATGGTGCATTTTGTTTAATTATATTGAGAATATTGTGAAATATTAATACAGTATCGGTATAGCTGCGATACAAAAACACTGTATACACTTTGTACTATAGTATATAATATAATTATTAAAATTTTTAACTCTTAAAAAACAAAATAAAACAAATTTTTTTTTCAATTCTAAATTAATTAATTGAAATTATGAAAATTATTTTTATATATTTTTTTTTAACGTTAATTTAGGCCAGACTAATTTAATTTTTCATTAATTAATAATATAAATCTTTTTTTAATTTGTATGCAAATACAATTACCAATTAAATTTGTAGTATTAAGTAGTGTTGTATATTTTCATTGTTCAAAGATTTTTGAATAGTGTTCCTATTGAACCTAGGTTCAAAGTTCATGAACATGTTCAAAGTTTTGAATAAAGAAAAAAGCATATAAT